CCTGGATTCATGTTCTTGCCAAAATCTGGAGATGCTGAAGAAATGTCCTGCTGGGTTGTGTGTTTTTGGAGCATGTTCTGCAGACAAGGACAGGTGTCCAGACCACATTGAAGTGTCTTATACTGCCACTTACAGAACTGTCTTTCATCGGGGGAGGGGTTAACAAACCAAGTGCCTTCCTCACTGTAATTTCGACTTAATTGCTGTTAAACTGTTCAAACTATTACACAGAATTGCGCTAACATTTATACCTAGGAACCTTACAATGTGTGGGGGGGGGGGGGGGGGGGGGGGGTGGGGAGGTTGTTCATTCATTAAACTTTATACATTTTGAACAAAGAATTCTTTTTGTAAAAATATTTTAATTTGTACAAGAATCGTATAACAGAAAATAGGGATTGTATATAAGTGTTTTATTGCATGGGTGATGGTACTGCTGGTTTGATAGTATTTTAATGAAATTCATTGACTGACTTTATGAATCGGGCCCACACATGATGTCAGATGTATTTTGTTGTACATTGTAAATGATATAATCTGTCGCTAGAGTGTGAGTGGCGTGCTTAGACAAAACAAATTGCCAGGGGGACCTATTAAATGGACACTTCAACGGTTGTCTGGTAGAGTTTCTGATTTTTAATTTTTTTTATTGTTTTATAAATCAGATTCATTCACTGGAAAGAGTTGATTAAAGTTTTTTAGTACATAAACTAATGAAAAGAAGTCACCAAGAACAATAAGTTGTAATTAGTTCAGTCTGCTCACCCCAATGGACAAAAATAATTTTTATAGGTTGCCCTAGGTTACTGCACATACGCACCTAGCACTTACAAAGGAAGTAACGTGATTTGTTTCTTAATATGCATCACCCCCTATTATAATTGTAGTAAAAGACTACCCCTTCTTTAACCACTTGTCAAACATGTAACGTATATGTGTGGTGGCAGGGAGGTGGGCTTTAATGCCCCAAATGCTGCAAATCTGCATTGATGGTGGCCAAGGTTTCTGTGCTGAGAGTATGCTCACTGCGTGCTTCCAGCACAGTGACTGAGCTGTTACAGACCCCCTGGCCCCTGTTTGTAATCAGGAGCTAGCAGTCAATCACAATGATCACGTGATCAGGAAGCCAACCCCACCCCCCTGCATTAAGATCCAGGTAAAGCACCCTGCTCCAGGCCAGAAGGGATTTAACCTCCTCGGCGGTATGATTCTTTCTGATTTTTTGTGCTGAAAGCAGTACAATTTTTTTGCATGGAAAGATGTCGTTTTTTATTGTAGGCTGTAATTTTTAGGAATAACTCACTGAAATCTGTCCGAACAAGAGTCTAGTAAACATCCGGGTAGGATAAAACTTGAAACACGAAATCATAAATTATAATTTAATAAATAATCATAAAAAAATAAATAATAATAATAAATTTAATTCAATAATATAATCAAACCAAAAACACTGAAATGTGAAATACAGAGGCAAATTCGCACATCGCTGAGCAAAGTCGCAAAATCGTTTTCAGTGTCTGATGAGGAATTTCCCCCACGAATCATTATCACTCAATTCTGCAAGTGGTTCTGATTTACTATGCTGTTCTCTAGCCGGTCTAAAACCGCTTTTGACCTAAAGGGACGCTTTTTTGGACGCCATGGACTTTTCTAAGTTTCCATGCAGAAAGAACAGTCAAAATGTAGGCAGGGCGCCGGACAAAGCACTCGGGACAAAATGTATGTGAAATGCACTGAAACAGCAATGACAGCAAAAATGACATTTTTTAAAAAATTTCAAATTTGCCGCCGGTTCCGGCACCTGTACATCCCGACGTCACAGGGACCGGAACACGGAAGCCGGATGCCGGCATCGGCCGGAGGAGATGGCCGGGCACGCTGCAGGGGACACATCGCAGGAGCGAAGGACAAGGTAAGTGCTGCAGGGACTCCCTGAGCAAACGCCGCATGGTAAGCCTGAGTGTAGCTCGGGGTTACCGCTCTTGGTACTCAAATTTTACCCCGAGCTACACTCGGGAATACCGCTAAGGAGGTTAATATGCATCACCCCCTATTATAATTGTAGTAAAAGACTACCCCTTCTTTAACCACTTGTCAAACATGTAACGTATATGTGTGGTGGCAGGGAGGTGGGCTTAAATGCCCCAAACGCTGCAAATCTGCATTGATGGTGGCCAAGGTTTCTGTGCTGAGAGCATGCTCACTGCGTGCTTCCAGCACAGTGACTGAGGTGTTACAGACCCCCTGGCCCCTGTTTGTAATCAGGAGCTAGCAGTCAATCACAATGATCACCTGATCAGGAAGCCGACCCCACCCCCCTGCATTAAGACCCAGGTAAAGCACCCTGCTCCAGGCCAGAAGGGATTTAAGAAAAAGCAAAATAAAAATTGTTTGCGTATGAAAGCTGAGTTGTTTTGAAATTCAATAAAACCTAAGCACCCATGATGCAAAGCACTCTCTCTGCTTTCCATCTATAGCAGTGGTTCTCAACCTGTAGGTCGTGACCCTTTCACAGGGGGCCCCTAAGACCATCAGAAAACACATATTTCCGATGTGTAAAGAGCAGCTACTGTGTAGAAAGCAGCTGCTGTGTTGAAAGCAGCTACTCTGTTAAAAGCAGCTACTGTGTTGAAAGCAGCTACTGTGTTGAAAGCAGCTACTGTGTTGAAAGCAGCAGTATTGGAGGTAAAACGACACTCATGAATTATAATTACTGGGTAAATAATTTTATGGTTGGGGGTCACCACAACATGAGGAACTGTATTAAAGGGTCACGGCATTAGGAAGGTTGAGAACCACTGATCTATAGTATCCCTGCTGTAAATCACATACTTGACAGCTACTATAATTGATGTCACCGATTCAGTCAAATTTTGGAAGCGTTCTGTAGAGGTGTCACAAAGGTGTCTTATCTCTTTTGCCCCACCGTCCCACTCCAGAAATGAATACTTACCTTGATCTGACGGCCGCAATTTCTGGTGTTTGTCTACATCCTGGCTCTGCTGTGCATTAAAACCACATAGGCTTCTTATGGGGCCATTTCTTTTTATCGTTGGCCTTGTAATTCGCAAGCACAACTAAGACAAACTTGTACCGCAAATGTAAAAAAATACCTGATCAAGGTAAGTACGCACCTGTGGTGTAGGTTAGGTCAAGGTGAAGGGGCAAAAAGCATAAGTGCAGTTTTTTAGGAGCAGGAATATAAGCGAAATTATATGTAATGTGCTGTGAAAATGTATTTGCCCCTTCCTGTTGTTTTTTTTTTTTTTTTGCATAATTGTCTCACTCAAATGATTGAAATACAAAATGCAGTTTTTAAGTGATAATTTCATTTATTAAGGGGAAAAAAAAACTTTCCAAACCTGCCTGGCCCTATGTGAAAGCGTAATTACGCTTGGCTGCAACAACTGTGATTAAAGCAAATGTGATCATTTGCATTGAGTCTTTCACATTGCTATGGAGACACTTATCTCTTAGGCGGGTTTTTGTTTTAATAAGGTGGTGCTCTGTACTTTGGCCCTGTTCTCTACATGCCTCTAGACCAGGGCTTAACATTTCAAGTCCTGAGCTACTTAGCCAGACCTTAAGAGTTATGCAGGCCATAGATGGGGAGAAAAAAACGGCAGATTTTTCTTTTAAAAAACGAAAATTCGGTCGTTCAAGCGGCCGACGTTACCATCAATGGTAAAAAAAAATCGGCCGATTTTCATCCCTTCTACAGCTGGCAAAAAGTGTCCCTGCAGAGAGCTCCGCTATTTCTGACAGTTCTCTGACAGTTCCTTCACATTTACAGCGGTTGAAACAATGTATCTATTTGTTTCCATTTAGGATACAGATGTTTTTTTTCGGAAACAAATAGATACAATGTTTCAACCGCTGTAAATGTCAAAGAACTGTCAAAGAACTGTCAGAGAACTGTCAGAAATAGCGGAGCTCTTTGCAGAGATACTTTTTGCTGTACTGGAATTCTTCTTATTTTCATCCTACTTCTTCTTCTTCTTCTTCATCCTCATCCTTCTTCTTCTTCATCCTCATCCTCTTCTTCTTCTCCTCTTCTTCTTCATCGTCTCATTCTCTTCTTCTTCTTCATCCTCTTCATCTTCTTCTTCATCCTCTTCATCTTCTTCTTCATCCTCTTCTTCTTCTTCATCCTCATCCTCTTCATCTTCTTCATCCTCATCCTCTTCTCTTCTTCTTCTTCTTCTCATCCTTCTTCTTTCCTCATCCTCTTCTTCTTCCTCATCTTCTTCTTCTTCATCCTCATCTTCTTCTTCTTCCTCATCCCTTCTTCTTCTTCTTCATCCTCATCCTCTTCTTCTTCATCATCCTCATCCTCTTCTTCATCCTCATCCTCTTCTTCTTCATCATCATCCTCATCTTCTTCTTCATCTTCCTCATCCTCTTCTTCTTCCTCGTCCTCTTCTTCTTCCTCGTCCTCTTCTTCTTCTTCCTCATCCTCTTCTTCTTCTTCATCCTCATCCTCTTCTTCTTCATCATCCTCATCCTCTTCATCCTCATCTTCTTCATCCTCATCCTCCTCTTCTTCCTCCTCATCCTCTTCTTCATCCTCATCTTCTTCATCCTCATCTTCTTCATCCTCTTCTTCTTCATCCTCATCTTCATCCTCATCTTCTTCTTCCTCTTCTTTTTCATCCTCTTCTTCATCCTCTTCCTCTTCTTCTTTTTCTTCTTTTTGTCTTCCTCTTGCAGGTCACTGCTCATGCGCAGATTTTTTATCGGTAAAAAATCGGCCGATTGGCCCATTAATGCCGCGAAAATCGGCCGATCGGCCGATTTTTTTTCCAACTTTACCAAAAAAAAAAAAAAAACGGCCAAAATCCCGAAAAAACGGCCGACCAAATCGCCCACTAACGATCCGAAAATCGGCCGATTTTTGACCCATCTATGGCCTGCATTACTCACCACCAACAAACACACACGCACAGAGACACATGTACACACACATATATGCACACAGGCACGTACAGACACGCATACACACGCACAGACACATGTACATACATACACAGACACATGTATGTACATGCACACAGACACATGTACACACATACATGTACATACACACAGACACATGTACATGCATACACAGACACACACGTACACACACACATGCATGCACGCTGTTAAGTGCTCTCTCCCCTGAAGCCACCACTGGCTGACATAGAGGATCATGTGACCAGAGCTGAAATTAGGTAGACACACACCCCTATAAAAAGTTGCAGTACTTTGTTGTTCACTCACAGAGCCGGGTACTGCACTCTAGAGGGAGGCAGAGAGCACAGCACACACTCCTTCCTTTGCTTTCACTGCGCTCAGCTATTGAGCAGTCTGACGGCTCCCAGTGCCAATGACAGATCCGGCCTGAGCTCCGAGCCTGCTCAGCAAGATGGCCCTGGGGGACACACTCGCCCCCCATCATAATTTCCACTCGCCATTGGCGAGCAGGCGAGTGGAAGTTTCAAGACCTGCTCTAGACCCCCACTTAATGGCTTACAGCAGCTGGGTGAACAAGAAAGTTATTTGCAGATGTGGTCATAGAAGTCTACAGTTCATCTAAAATGCAGGTGGGATGTTCAGCTTACTGTATTTGCCATTAACACAGAGCTGAGATATTGTTTTATAGATGAACTGACAGTGTAACCAGTTCAGCTCTCTCATCTGTGTACCCCTTACATATTTACATTTCTGCTATGGACCTGTTTATTTGGCAGTAACTTTATTACCTAAGATAACAAAGTAATACGTGCATTTGTTTTCAAGACAAACCAGGCTTTCTTTTGATATTGTCCTGCAAAAATTATGTTTCTTAATCATACATGACAAGAATCAGGATGAGTATTCAGGAATTTTTGGTTATGCTGTTGCCTTTAGAAGATTGGACGCTGATAAAACAAAGTTGCAAGGACTGCCCCTTCCCAGCATAAAACAAAGTTGCAAGGACTGCCCCTTCCCAGCATAAAACAAAGTTGCAAGGACTGCCCCTTCCCAGCATTAAAACAAAGTTGCAAGGACTGCCCTTTCCCAGCATAAAACAAAGTTGCAAGGACTGCCCCTTCCCAGCATAAAACAAAGTTGCAAGGACTGCCTCTTCCCAGCATAAAACAAAGTTGCAAGGACTGCCCCTTCCCAGCATAAAACAAAGTTGCAAGGACTGCCCTTTCCCAGCATAAAACAAAGTTGCAAGGACTGCCCCTTCCCAGCATAGAACAAAGTTGCAAGGACTGCCTCTTCCCAGCATAAAACAAAGTTGCAAGGACTGCCCCTTCCCAGCATAAAACAAAGTTGCAAGGACTGCCCCTTCCCAGCATAAAACAAAGTTGCAAGGACTGCCCCTTCCCAGCATAAAACCAAGTTGCAAGGACTGCCCCTTCCCAGCATAAAACAAAGTTGCAAGGACTACCCCTTCCCAGCATAGAACAAAGTTGCAAGGACTACCCCTTCCCAGCATAGAACAAAGTTGCAAGGACTACCCCTTCCCAACATAAAACAAAGTTGCAAGGACTGCCCCTTCCCAACATAGAACAAAGTTGCAAGGACTGCCCCTTCCCAGCATAAAACAAAGTTGCAAGGACTGCCCCTTCCCAGCATAAAACAAAGTTGCAAGGACTGCCCCTTCCCAGCATAAAAACAAAGTTGCAAGGACTGCCCCTTCCCAGCATAAAACAAAGTTGCAAGGACTACCCCTTCCCAGCATAAAACAAAGTTGCAAGGACTACCCCTTCCCAGTATAGAACAAAGTTGCAAGGACTACCCCTTCCCAGCATAGAACAAAGTTGCAAGGACTGCCCCTTCCCAGCATAAAACCAAGTTGCAAGGACTGCCCCTTCCCAGCATGCCTCAAGTTTTTCCTTGTGTCCAAGGAGAATGGTGAGGAAACATTTTTTTTGTTTTTATCAAGATTTATTTTTCATCTAGAAAGTTTTATCAGTTGATGCAGAGCCAGAAGGGGCTCATTTGCAGCTTTCTGGATTATCTGCCCCTCAGCATTGCTAATATATCCATACCCAGACCCTGTGCAGGCCTGTAAGCTGTCTTTTGGCAGTGGACTCCAGGTAAGGTGTTCACCTAGGTACCTATGGTTCAACATGATGAGCCAGGCTGCAGAGTGCTTTACAGGTCCAAAGATGTGGTATACCCATCTGGTAGAACCCTGTTCCTGGAGACTCCTTAGGGGGTGTGCCTACTGGATGGGTAAAAGCAGCATCCTCCCTGGATCCTGCCTCTCTAACGCCTGATATGCCTGAGTCCTGCCCCAGGGCCATTGTTGGGCTTCAGCTGCGATGTGCAGAGCTTTTTCCCTTGTTATACAGGGATCCTTGTGTTGGTACATACTTTCCAGCCATCTACTAAGGGATTAATCAATTGAAATCCAGCCATGGCACAATCGTTTGCATGCCAAGTGGCAGGAAGGGGGGAGTTGTGCCAGTATTTAAAAATGCAGCTGTGCGGAGTCCAGACTCTTCTGCTCCTATGCAAATCCCATTTATGATGAACAAATGCCAATGTGTGCACTATTTTCTCTGTATGCACACCTCCCTGCCATCTCCTCTGCTCTTGCATCGGTTCTATGACCCTCTGGACAGTACCTGGGCTCCCTGCTACCTGGTTGCAGATGGCATTATGGCAGTGAATTTGTGAGTACCTTGTGGGGTGTCTCTTACTTAGTACTAGTATGGTGGGTCCTAAGTGCAAGCCAGGCGGTCCTGGGTCTTGACTAGCTTTGACTGTATGCGAACAGTGCCAGGGTACTTACAGTTTTCTCTCTATAGGTTTTGACACTGATAGCCCAGATCATTGTCCTCTGCTTGAGTCGCAGCAGTCCTCTGAGCTTTCCTTAACCTCTCTTCAGGGGTTTAACACTTCCTTGGTGACTAGGTAAGAATTTTAAGTTACTGTGTGCGGGTTTATGGGCCATATTGCAGCCTTGACAACTGATTCAGAAGACAAGGATTTCATGTGTGTTTCCATGCCTTATTGTCCAGTGTCCATCTCTGAATTCTTGTAGTTGCAGCTAAAGTTGAGGGAGGTTGTACCTTATCCTTAACTGAGAGTTTAGTCGACAAGGAGTTGCAGTCTGCAAATCCTTTTTTTTTTTTTTTTTTATATATAAAAGAAAATAAATGCATGGTTATATAGAAGTAGAATGTATGTGAACTAATTACTGTGATGTCCATATAATTAAAAAAAAAAAAAAAAAAATACTACTGTACTGGTGCACAGCGATCTTGGCTGGCTGGGACATATGGTACAATGAGTAGGCGTAGCAGCTCTCCAAGTATTCTACTGGGTGACAGAATATGGCCTGTGCAAAAACAAAAAACAACAGCGTGCGCATCCACCCTAGTGTAACTCTGTTTATTGGTAAAACAAAAACATTAAAACCAATAAAATGTGGTAAACATATATTCATTAACCTCCTCGGCGGTATGATTCTTTCCGATTTTTTTGTGCTGAAAGCGGTACCATTTTTTTTGCATGGAAATATGTATTTTTTTTATTGTAGGCTGTAATTTTTAGGAATAACTCACTGAAATCTGTCCGAACAAGAGTCTAGTAAACATCCCGGGGAGGATAAAATTTGAAACACGAAATCATAAATTATAATTTAATAAATAATCATAAAAAATAATAATATAATAATAATAAATTTCATTCAATAATATAATCAAACCAAAAACACTGAAATTTGAAATACAGAGGCAAATTTGCACTTCGCTGAGCAAAGTCGCAAAATCGTTTTCGGTGTCTGATGACAAATTTCCCCACGAATCATTATCACTCAATTCTGCAAGTGGTTCTGATTTACTATCGCTGTTCTAAAACCGCTTTTGACATAAAGGGACGCTTTTTTGGACGCCATGGACTTTTCTAAGTTTCCAGGCAGAAAGAACAGTCAAAATGCAGGCAGGGCCGGACAAAGCACTCGGGACAAAATGTATGTGAAATGCATTGAAACAGCAATGACAGCAAAAATTAATTTTTTTAAAAATTTCAAATTTACCGCTGGTTACGGCGCCCGTACGTCCTGACGTCACAGGGACCGGAACACGAAAGCCGGATGCTGACATCGGCCGGAGGAGATGGCCAGGGATGCTGCAGGGGACACATCGCGGGAGCGAAGGACAAGGTAAGTGCTGCAGGGACCCCCTGAGCAACGCCACATGGTAAGCCCGAGTGTAGCTCTGGGTTACCGCTCTTGGTATTGAAATTTTACCCCGAGCTACACTCGGGAATACCTCCAGGGAGGTTAGAGATTGTTAAAATTAAATTTGTGTATATATACTAAGTAGTTTATATCAAAAATCAACAAAAAACGCAGCATGTTACCAGGTATGTGTGGTATAATACTGTAAAATTAGAATATGATGTAATGATGTAACAATACCCCTCTCTGCAGAGACCTATAGTCCTGTTGGTGGACCCGAACACATTAGAGAGCTAGGTAGATGGTATCAAATCAGTGTTTTAATTTGTAGCTGTTCATTTAACCCTCCCGGAGTATCTGCGTGAAAATCCTTAATGACTGATGCTGACAGGGTCTGGAAAATCTTTCACCCTCAGGAAGTGACATGGAGATAGCCTCAATGCCAAAAATTTCTAGGCCCTGTGTTCTCCCGTCGTGTGTGGCAAAAATAGTGGGGAAACCTGTTTATAATGTTTCAGTTCTATGAAACATCGGTGTTCTCCAAACCTCTTACGCATGGTACGCAATGTCCTTCCTGCATAGTAGAGCCCAGAAGAACACATTAGGCCATAAACATCAAATTGCAGCTAATAAACTGCTTAATCTGAAAGACCCTACCATCTTTTCTTGTGGATTTTGTTTTACCATGATGTATGAAATGGCAAGCTTTACACTTCCTAGACTTACATTGGTAGGACCCTATCATGTTGAAATAGTAGGGATGTCCCGGGCTATACCTAACTTGTTTTCTATCCGACTGATCATGCTTTTAACATTATTTGCTCTCCTGAATACAATTCTAGGAGTATCTGGGAGGGCTTTTGCTAGGACAGGATCCTGCTTTAGGATGGGCCAATGGTTTTTTATGACCCAATGTTGGGCATTGAATTTAGAGATAAAGAGGGTTTTAGGTGGCTTATCTGTGTAACCCAAATGTATCTCCTTAACCAATCCACCTTTATATTTGCCTACTGCCTTCCTAATATGTTCCTCAACATAACCCTTCTCAAGAACTTAATAGCATCTCTGCTTGTGCTAGAGAATTTGAAGTTTTAGAACAATTTCTATGCAGTCTTTGAAATTGGCTGTATGGAATGTTCTCCTTCCACTTGGGGTGGTGAGAACTGTTTTTATGTAGGTATGAGTTGCCTGTGGTTTCTTTAAAATGCGATTTTGAGTTTATATTACCACCTGCATCCCAAGATAACTCCAAATCCAAAAAATACCGATTGTATTCAGGAGAGCAAATAATGTTAAAAACATCAATAAGGAAAGGCGTAGCGCTATAA